ATATTCATTGTAAATACAGTTATTCGAAGTCTTTTCCAGATTGTTCTATTATCTCAAGTTTCGGGAACAGAAATTCTCCTATTGTGATGTATGCTGTCTGTCTGTTGCTCATGGTGACTCAGTTCCTGATGCGTTTGATACTTTCTGATTGTGAGCTAAAGTCGGATTTTTTTTTTTTTTCTCATGGTGGCTCAAGTGGCCTGGGTTGTGAAGGCTCCCTCCAGACACAATTTTTCCTTTGTCACTGTACTCCGGGCCAATTTAAGAAATCCTGTTTTTGTGGTGATGGTCGTTACTGTGGTAAAATATAGAACATAAAATTTACCATCTTACCCATGTTTAAGTGTCCAGTTCAGTGGTATTAAGTATGAATATTCAAAGTGTTGTCACCATCACCACCATCCATCAACAGAACTTGTTCCTCTTCCGAAACCAAACCTCTACACCCACTAAACACTAACTCCCTATTCTCTCCTTCCTCCAGCCCCCGGCAATCACCATTCTATTTTCTGTCTCTATAAATTTGCCTACTCTAGGTACTGCATATAAGTGGGATCATGTAAGATTTGTTCTTTCGTGTCTGGCTTAGTTCACTTAGCCTAATGTCTTCAAAGTTCATCCATGTTGTAATATGTGTCAGAATTTCCTTCCTTTTTAAGACAAAATAATAGTCCATTGTATATGTGATCGTACATTTTGTGTATACTACTCTATTCATTCATTCATTGATGAACATTTGGGTTGTTTCCACCTTTTGGCTATTGTGACTAATGCTACTATCAACACTGGTGTAGAAATATATTTGTTTGAGTCTCTGCTTTTTTTTTTTTTTTTTTTTTAAGACGGAGTTTCGCTCTTGTTGCCCAGGCTGAAGTGCAATGGCACAATCTCGGCTCACCGCAACCTCCGCCTGCTGGGTTCAAGCGACTCTCCTGCCTCAGCCTCCCGAGTAGCTGGGATTACAGGCATGTGTCACCACGCCCAGCTAATTTTGTGTTTTTAGTAAATCCATGTTGGTCAGGCTGGTCTCGAACTCCCAACCTCAGGTGATCCGCCCAACTCGGGTTCCCAAAATGCTGGGATTACAGGTGTGAGCCACCGTGCCTGGTCCGCCCACCTCGGGTTCCCAAAATGCTGGGATTACAGGTGTGAGCCACCGTGCCTGGTTGAGTCTTTTGGGTATATACCCAGAAGTGAAATTTCTACCTCATATAGTAATTCTGTGTTTAATTTTTTGAGACACCATCACACTGTCTTCCACAGTGGCTGCACCTTTTATATTCCCAGAAGCAATGTACGAGGGTTTCAATTTCTCCATATCCTTGTCAACACTTGCTATTTTCTGTTTTGTTTTGTTTCTTAATAATAGCCATCCTAATGAGTGTGAAGTGGTATTTCACTGTGGTTTGATTTGCATTTCCCTAATGGTAAGTGATGTTGATCATCTTTTCATGTGCTAATTGGCCACTTGTATATCTTCTTTGGAAAAATGTCTTTCAACAATGAATAACTGCATGAATAATTGAAAAAGTAAACAGTGAATTTTCAAGTCCTTTGCCTATTTAATCAATTTTTTTTTTTCTTGAGACAGGCTCTCTCGCTATTGCCCAGGATGGAGTGCAGTGGTGCGATCTCGGCTCTCTGCAGACTTGACCTCCTGGGCCAAAGCAATTTTCCCACCTCAGCCTCCCTAGTAGCTGGGACTACAGGTGCATGCCACCATGCCCAGCTGATTTTTGTATTTTTTGTAGAGATGAGGTTTCACCTTGTTGCCCAGGCTGATCTTGAACTCCTGGTCTCAAGCGATTGGCCCGCCTCAGCCTCCCAAACTGCTGGGATTACAAAGTGCTGAGCCACTGAATCAACTTCAAATTGTTTTTGTTGTTGTTGTTTTAAAATATATTTTATATTTTAAAAATATATCCTATATATTGGCCAGGTGTGGTGGTTCATGCCTATAATCCCAGCACTTTGGGAGGCCGAGGCGGGCAGATCACTTGAGGTCAGGAGTTCAAGACCAGCCTTGCCAACATGGCAAAACCCTGTCTCTACTAAAAATACAAAACTTAGCCAGGTGTGGTGGCGCACATCTGCAGTCTCAGCTACTTGGGAGGCTGAGGTGGGAGAACCACTTGAACCCGGGAGGCAGAGGTTGCAGTAGCCAAGATCACGTGACTGCACTCCAACCTGGGTGACAGAGCGAGACCCTGTCTCAAAAATTTTTTCCCATTTCTTGGGAAATTGTGTCCTTTTTTTTTTTTTTTTTTTTTTTTTTGAGACTCTGTCATCTAGGCTGGAATGCAGTGGCTGGATCTCGGCTCACTGCAACCTCTGCCTCCCAGGTTCAAGCAATTCTCCTGCCTCAGCCTCCCGAGTAGCTGGGCTTACAGGTGCCCGCCACCACACCCAGCTAATTTTTGTATACTTAGTAGAGATGGGGTTTCACCATGTTGGCCCAGCTGGTCTCAAACTCTTGACCTCAAGTGATTCACCCACCTTGGCCTCTCGAAGTGCTGGGATTACAGGTGTGAGCCACCACGCTCGGCCCCCGAAAGTTCTTAATTGTAATGAAGTCCAGTTTATTTTTTGTTTTGTTGCCTATACTTTTGGTGTCATGTCCAAGAAATCCTTGCCACATCCAATGCCAGGAAGTCCCTCTTATATTTTCTTCTAAGAGTTTTGTAGTTTTAGCTTTTATGTTTCTGTCTTTAATCCATTTTGGAGTTAATTTTTTAATATACTTAAGGTAAAGTATATTTTTTTATATATACTTAAGGTAAAGATTCTACTTCAGTATTTTGCATGTGGAAGTCCAGTTTTCTAAGTCTTCTTGAAAAGACTTGCCTTTCCCTCACTGAATGGTCTTGGGACCCTTGTCTAAAATCATTTGACCATATGTGTAAGAGTTTATTTCTGGGCTATTCTATTCCATTAGTCTAAATGTCTGTCTTTATACTAATACCACACTATTTTAATTATTGTAGATTTGTGGTTACATATTAAAATCAGAAACTGTAAGACTTCCAATTTTGTTCTTTTTCAAGATTGTTTTGACTATTTGGGGTCCTTTGAGATTCCATATAAATTTTAGGATGGATTTTTCTGTTTCTATAAAAATATTATGATTTGCATTTCAATAGGGATTGCATTGAATCTGTAGATTGCATCAGGCAACATTGACACCTTAGCAATATCAAGTCTTCTAATCCATGAATATAGGATGTCTTTCCATTTATTTGTGTCTTCTTTCACTTTGGCAACATTTTGTGATTTTCAGTGTACAAGTCTTTTGCTTCCTTGGTTAAGTTTATTGCTAAGGGCCAGGCGCAGTGGCTTACACCTGTAATCCCAGCACTTTGGGAGGCCGAGGCAGACGGATCACGAGGTCAAGAGATCAAGACCATCTGGCCAACATGGTGAAACCCCGTCTCTACTAAAAATACAAAAATTAGCTGGGCATATTGGCAGGAACCTGTAGTCCCAGCTGCTCAGGAGGCTGAAGCAGGAGAATCACCTGAACCCGGAAGGTGGAGGTTGCAGTGAGCCGAGATCGCGCCACTGCACTCCAGCCTGGGCAACACAGCCAGACCCCGTCTCAAAAAAAAAAAAAGTTTATTGGTAATACTTTTATTCTTTTTAATTGCTTTTATAAATGAAATTGTTTTCTTAGTTTCCTTTTTGGATTTTTCATTATTAGTGTATAGAAACAACTAATTTCTATGTGTTAATTTTGTATCCTGCAACTTTGCTGACTTTATTAATTCTAATAAGTGTGTGTGTGTGTGTGTGTGTGTGTGTGTGTAATCCATCTTGGTTTTATGTTTACTTTTACCTGGAGACTCAGGCAGGGACAGGTTTTCTTGTCATCTTCCAAAGCCAGTGGGTAGGCTTTTTCTAGCTCCCTATTCATTGAGGAAGCAGGCTTCAAGGATCCCAGCTGTCTTCAAGAGTACTGGTTTCAGCTTCCTGCTTCATGAAGGCCAAGGCCTAGGTCATGGCCCCTGCAAGGTCAAGGTCATTATAATGCCAGCACCTGGCTGCTAAGCCTATTTCCCTTCCAATACCCTCCCCTCAGAGCTCCTGGTGCATCAGCTCGTTCAACCTCCTGCTTTTCTGCTCTCTCTTGATTTAAGAAACAGACACATTATATTTCTACGTATTCAGAGCACAGGAGTCCCAGCATCCCACTTCCAAATGAGCATGTCAAGCACCTGCATTCAGAGAAGACACCTGGAAGGCAAAATGTTGCCATAGTGAAAGGCCTTATTCCCGAATACAGGTAGAGTGGGGAAGACCTTGGCCCCTTCCCACACAGGCAAGAGTGTTGCCTCCCCATGGGGCTGGTAGCCTGCTAAGGCCCAAGCCACATGGGTGGGTTGTCTACTGTTACTGAGGGCCTACTCTGTGCCATATACCATACTAGGTGCTTTACATACATTATATGTCATTGAATCTTCCCTCCAGTCCTATGAGGTAGGTACTATTATTGTCGCTGATTCACTTGAGAAAGCTGCCAAAACACAGATAACAAGGGGCAGAACCAGGATTCTGATTCAGGTTGGCTCAGCCTTTTATCAAATACATGTAGTCTTCCTCTGTCCTTTCAAAAGCCTATAGCTTCCTCATCTTGTCCACTCCTCTGCGGGTAGGGTCTGTGGTTTCCTTTCTCTTATCTATCCTCAACACACAGTGGGTGTGACCTGGGTGCAACCAGTCACAGCTCTGCAGAGGTTACTATGATTTTGCCCCTGAAGGATCTGTCCACAACTTAGGAACTCTAACAGCTTTTGGCCTGAGCCCCCGTTACCGAGAGAAAGGAGCTTTTTGCCAAGGACTCCAAGGGGAGTGCACTTGATGCTGGTCGGGACCCAAGGCACCCAGCCCTCCCTGAGACATTGTGTGAGTCGGGCTGGGCCTCAGACACAGCCCCCACTGCCCCACCCCAGCCAGGGTGGTGCTTGTGTGGGAAGGACTTTAAATCCAGCTGCCAGACCCCTGCACGGGAGAAGGAGAGACGGCTGGCCACCATGCACGGCTCCTGCAGTTTCCTGATGCTTCTGCTGCCGCTGCTGCTAGTGCTGGTGGCCACCACAGGCCCCGCTGGAGCCCTCACAGATGAGGAGAAACGTCTGATGCTGGAGCTGCACAACCTCTACCGGGCCCAGGTATCCCCACCAGCCTCAGACATGCTGCACATGGTAAGTGTGGCCACGGCGCTTGCTGGCTGGGATAGAAGGGGTGCTGGCCAGGGTCTGTCACCAGGCCCTCTTACCCTGCTCCACATGCTGAAGCTATTTCAGAATTCTTCTCCTTTCTCTGGTCAGTGACAGAGTCCCTGAGTCCCTGACATTATGTTACATTACTTTTAATGGCAAAAACCACAATTACTTTTGCACCCGCCTAACAAAATTCACAGGCCCCTATAAGCAACCTCATAATACAGATGAGGAAAGTGAGGCTCAGAGGGACTTGCTGGGGTCACACAGCTGGTAGAGCCAGACCCAAAACCCTGGCTTCCCACTCCAATGACCTTTCCCCAGCACTTCCTCAAATGCATGTGCCCTCGGTGGGGGAACCCGGGAAGTTCTTAACACCTTTGTGAAAACGGTCTTTCATATGCCTGCCAAGAAGAGGACAAGAGGAAGCAGGGCAGCAGGATGGGCATGGGCACCTGGGGTAGGATGCAGGTGCTAAGGAGGTAGGTGACAGCAGGATCCAGAAGCAGAGAGGGCTCTGGATCACACAGTCCGAATTCTGTCTTGGTCGCCTACAAAACCTGTGATTCGAGGCAAGTCCTGTAACCTTGCCGATCCCGTGTCTCATCTGTAAAAGGCGGTCAGAATTAGAGCTATGTATATACCAGTGCGGACTGAATCTCACAGATATCATACTGAATGGGGAGGAAATAAAATCTCTAAAAAATACACAGTAGGGTCTCTTTACATGAAGTCTGAAGACATGTAAAAATACTATTTATGTCCGGTGAAACACGCAGATGTAGTAAACATACATGTGCATGCACACAGGAGACAGAGCCAGATTTAGGGCTGGTTACTTCTCTTAGGAAGAGCTATTTATGGCAGGGTGAGAGGCGGGCTGTCTATATGCAGGATTAAAGGAGATAAAGTGAGAAATTCACCCCCTTCCTGCCCTCCCTGAGGGCTGAACTAGCCTGTCCCCTCCACCCACCCTCAGATGGCTGGGGAGGTTGCTGGGCAGTGTTTAGGGATCAGGGACCCCTGGAGCTGGTGCCTCAGAGAACAGATGCTCCTTGGGGAACACAACAGTGAGCCTGGGGCCCCAAACCTAAGTTCTAACCTCAGTCCCATGTGATCTGACTGAATTAACTCTGGGTGGACCCCTTTCCCTTCAAAGGCCTCTGTTTCCGGATGGAAACATGGGCTGGCGATCCCTGTCCTGGGCGTCAGACAGGATGACATGTGAGAAAGATCTAGGAAGAGCTCTGCACACACACCCAGCACTGCCGTTCACAGCTGTGCCAGCCTGGGCATCCAGGAAAGGTAGACAACAAACCAGGAGTCGCAGACGCAGCTCTGTCAACAGCGCGCTGATTGAGGCCTGTGACTCATGGTTGGGCTTCAGTTTCCCCACCTGTAGATCCCTGATGCCTACAGTCTTGCTGGCTGAGATGGGGGCCACACAGGCTGGGAGCCACTTCTCAGACAGAGGTGCACCTTGGAGCGGGCCAACATTCTGGGAGGCAGTTGGGATACTGAGGGGATATGCTGCTGCCTAATGGGGAGTGTTTTGAGGAGGAGGAGATGAGGCTGGGGCTGGGATGCCAGGAAACATTCAGGAGAAGACTCAGGTTCAACCTCAGTAGTGACGAGGGCAGGGACTCTGCAGCCAAATGGCCTGAGTTCAAATCTTGCCTTTGTTACTTATTAGCTTTGTGACCTTGGCTAAACTCTCGGTGCCTTGGTCTCCTCATCTGTAAAATGGGGATGATAACAGTGGAATAATTCCCTTGTAGCTATGGTAGTTGTAGGGTTAAATGAGTGAATATGTGTAAAGCACTCAGAAGAATGCCTGGCACACAGTAAGTGCTCAATAAGTGTCTGATTAACACAAAAGAGGGAATGGATCCAGGGTGAGCCAGGTGGGGGTTATCATGAACGCTTCTCTCTCAGCCTCCAGGTCTAATCAGTACCAGTTTTGCCCCCTTGAAGGTTCAATTGTCCTTGAAATCTAACCCTTCCTCCTACCCCCTTCTCTTTTTGGCACAACCCTGGTTCAGGGTTCTTTCATTCTTGAACCCAAGGACTCCTAGGATAGCCCCTACCTGTTCCCCAGCTTCTGGCCTCTGCTGTCAGAATGAATAATCCAACACATGGGCCTGACCCTGCTCAAAATCCTTCAGTGGCTCCCACAGCTCCCTACTGCCTCAGGATAAAGCTCCGGCTCCTAACTGAGAAGGCTCTGTGTGTTCTGGCCCCTGCCTATCGCTCCATCCTCCTCTCCCGCTTGCCCTTTGTTCTTCTGTAACCTGAACAGCTTGTCTTTTCCCAGCCAAAATGTTTCCCAGCTTCATGCCTTTGCTGATGTGTGCCTTCTGATTAGGACGCCTCTCCCCCCAGCTGGCTAATGCCTCATCTTTTAACACTTAGCTTGGTGTCTCCCTCTCCACCTTTGGCTGGGCTAGATGGACCTCTTTGGTGCCCCTATAGTACTTGTTGCACATCTGTCATTTACCATGTGGTGGCCCAAATGATTTTTCTGTCAATGGAAGCTTGGGCTTCTTGGTTCCTGCTGTTGTCCCAGGGCTGACACAATGCCCAGGACTGTTGAATGAATGAATGAACGAGTGAATGAATGAATGAATGAATGAATGAATAAATGGGCTTGCTTCTAGATGGTGACCATGTGGCCAATGTGGGTGGATGCTGAGAGTCTTACAACTCCACAGGGGGCTCTGGATGACTGACTGAGAATCCTTAAGACCAAACCAATGACGCTAATGGTGGGGCTCCAGGTATTTTGTCAGAATGGAAATTACAGGCAGACTCTGTAGGGGGAGACTGCTTTAAGCAGGGCCCTATCTCAGTCATCAATAGTTGACAAGTATCTGTTGAGCACCTACTATGTGCTAGTACTGCACCAGACACTGGAGATCCATCCATACCCTATCCTGACGGCACTTACAGTCCAGCCTGGCACCTCACAGGTCATCTCAGACACCCTGACTCTGGTCGCCAGCACCCTGTCCCTTTCCCACTCCCAATCTCCCACTGTTGCCAGAGTTGAGAGAATCTCAGGGACCAGTGATTCAGGACAAAAATGTCCAGAGAGGGAAAGATACTCACCCAAGGTCACAGCTGTGGAGCCATCCCAGCCAGGTGCACCCATCCCCATGCCAGGCAGCGGCTCCTGAAAGCCTTGAGCGGGTGGGGAGTGGGTGTGGCCACACAGCCACCTCCCCTCAGGGTCACCCAAGCTCTTGGCGCTTTATGGGCTGTCTGGCTCCCACAGCTGGCTGGGCCCCCATAGGGTGGAGCAAAAGCTGCCTCCAGGCCATGGATTTCCAGGAGAAGCCAAGGACAGCATTTAATGGGATCCAGGCTTCCCCTCCTCAATCCTTTGGGTTGGATGCCTTGTTAATCCCTCTTCCCACCCACACTCGGCCTGCCTCTCAGCCAGGGACACAATATCAGAGGCCCTGAACCTCAAATTTCCCCTCCCACCATCTCACCTGAGGTCCCCACTGGAGAACACTGTCAATGGGGTTGACGGTGGGTTACCAAGGCTCTGAAAGTAGGCCCCTTGGTGAGAGGCCTGTGACATTCAGTGTCACCTACAGTCACTTAATTTTATTGGAGAAAGGGGGTTGCCATTGACAAGGGTTGGGAGCAGTTAGGAACAGCACTGGGGAGGGAGCCTGCAGAGGGTAAAGGCATGGGGGCTGGGTGTCCCAAGGGGAGGGTGGGGGCTTAGAGGGAGAGGAAGGTGCCAGCCCTCAAGTCAGGTTCCTGGTTGAGTGGGGGTGAAATGGGCTGAATAAACAACCCAGCCCCTCAACATCGATCTCACCAGACATCCTGTGCTCTTCAGAGAAGTTCAAGGAGGCCTGGGAGGTAGGCAGGGGCATGTGTGGCCACTTTTTTCACATGAGGCTTTTTATGTGACACTGTCACCAACACCACCTCATCCACTCTTCTCAGCCCTCTGAGGGTGCAGAAAGGTTAGACAATCCGTGCAGTCACACAGCTGGTGAACGGTCCGGCTCCACGGCCTGGGGTGGCGGCCTCCACCTCCCCACAGAAGCCCACCCAGAGCTGAGACCTGTTCCAGGCCATGCCCAAGAGTCACCCCGCTAAGGAGGTGCCGGAAGGGTTTCCCCACGACTTCCTCGACCTTTTGCTTGGTCCCCACAGCATCTGTGGGCATCCTCACCTCCCTTCTCTCACCTGCCCTGCAGAGATGGGACGAGGAGCTGGCCGCCTTCGCCAAGGCCTACGCACGGCAGTGCGTGTGGGGCCACAACAAGGACCGCGGGCGGCGCGGCGAGAATCTGTTCGCCATCACCGACGAGGGCCTGGACGTGCCGCTGGCCATGGAGGAGTGGCACCACGAGCGCGAGCACTACAACCTCAGCGCCGCCACCTGCAGCCCGGGCCAGATGTGCGGCCACTACACGCAGGTGTGGGCAAGGCGGGCGGGGCAGGGCGGAGCCTCGCGGCGTGGGGGTGGGGCCACGTGCTCCGTGGGCGGGGCCACCTCTGCCTTCACCGTTCCTTAGCGTCCTCGCTACAAGAGGCGGGCCTCACTCCAAGTCCCCTCAGATACTTTGCAAATCTTGTCCTCTCACTGCAGCTAATACGCTGTCTAAGCCTCTGACGGAGTCGGCTTCTCTACAGTCTTTTGAAAACCTAGGCCGCTAGGCCAGGCGCGGTAGCTCACGCTTGTAATCCCAGCAATTTGGGAGGCCGAGCTGGGAGGATCGCTTGAGGCCAGGAGTTGGAGACCAGCCTGGGCAACATGGCGAGATCCCTGTCCCTACAAAAAAATACAAAAAACTTTGCTGGGCGCGGTGGCGCGCACCAGCTACTCTGGAGGCTGAGGTGGAAGGATCACTTCAGCCCGGGAGACTGAGGCTGCAGTGAGTCGTGATCACGCCCCTACACTCCAGCCAGGGCAACAGAGGGAGGCCCTGTCTCAAAAAAAATAAAATAAATAAAAAGGGGTGGGGGCGGTGGGACATGTTAGGTGTCACAGAGCCAGTTTTATGGATCGTGGTTATTGACCTAGGCAATACTGTACGGTGCTCCAAGTGGTCCTGCCCCTCTTGCCCCAGATAGTGCAGGGCTGTTTGCCCCAGCAGCAGATAGTCCCTTAACTTCTCTCTGTGGCTCCTTCGCATTTATTATGGTGTCTAATTTGCTACTTGTCATCTGCCAGGGACTAATAAAGCAAATAGACAATTTTGTCTAGTTTTTCTTTTGCATTTAACAATTATACGTAACGATGAACAGCAAATTGTGGCTGAATGAAGGCTTCAGGGAGATTTCTGATAGAATTTCCTGCTCCCCAATCACACTTTGCTCCTGTCTGGATTCTCACTGCATTTTGAAAGTTTGGGCTTGCAGATAAGATGTGTGTGTGTGTGTGTGTGTGTGTGTGTGTGTGTGTGTGTGTAGGGGAATTAACATTAGTGTAACTGAATTATTTTTTCTCCTCCCAGTGCTTATGTGTTGTACAAATAGTAACATGACAAACAATTAAAAGAAAAGAAAAGGAACCAACCATCTTCCCACCCACACCCACCAATTCCATTTCTTTTTCATGGTATTTTTAGTCTTCATCTTTTTTTTTTTTTTTTTTTTAGTCTTCATCTTTAGGGAGGAAATCCCAGCAGCACCCACCCAGGTCAGAAAGTTGTGAGGGCCCAGCACCCTTCCTGGCCCTTTCCCTCTGGATCCTGCCACCCCTCCCTCTCCCTCCACCCTCACCCACTTGCTTGTGCAGGGATTGTTATCAGGACCCAGCAGGGAGTAAGTCAGCGCAGCTCCACCCCAGCTTTCTCTGGGGCTGAGGGTGCATGTACTCTGGAGTTGTTTCTGCCCAGAAGGTGTTCAACACTGAGGAGACCTTCAGCTGATTTCAGCAGAGATTCCTGGGCAGATTGGGCCTAGAACCAGCAAGGAAAGGCTGCTGGTCTTACCCCATGGCAGCACACAAATGTTGTTGGATTTTTTGTTTGATAAAGACAGAAGTCATTCTAGCAGCTAAGAGACCCACACTGAGAAACAACCAGAACAGGTCCTGCTCACCTGTGATTTGGGGGAAGTTCCACTTTCAAAATGGCTCCTCCTGCTCCCCACCTTGGACTTTCCTTGTTGCTGAGGTCTAAAATTCTACCATTTGAGATTCTTTCCTTTGCATATACCCTTCACTTAAAATGCAAGGGCCTCCAGGAAGAGCCCACAGAAAAAATTAATGAGGGTGTATCATAGTCCTGGAGCTGAGGGAAGGTTTTGAGAGGAAAAGAGGCCTGGCAAAGTGGTATGTGTGGTTAGCAGAGGAGAGTAGACCGTTAGGGACAAACTCCCCCATCCCTCCCCCTGGTCAGAGTTTTGTCCTGAACCTGCATGGCTTTGGGAACATGAACGTCACAGGCTATAGGGTGCCTCTTCTCCCCACCCCTGTAAGGGGTGTAGTGGGATGCCAGGAAGGCACCATGCCACCTCGCATGGGGCTGAGCTGCTAGGTTTGCCCTCCTTCAGGTGGTTTGGGCCAAGACAGAGAGGATTGGCTGCGGTTCCCACTTCTGTGAGAAGCTCCAGGGTGTTGAGGAAACCAACATCGAATTACTGGTGTGCAACTATGAGCCCCCGTGAGTGCTGGGGGGAACCCTGGAGATGGAGAGGGGGAAGGCACAGGCAGAGCCCAGGGGAAGGCAGAGTTGGCCACAGCCTGAGGGAGTGGGAGAAGAGGGGTCAGTCTGCAGCTATACCATCCAGGGAGCTGTGAAGGCTCCGATGGTGGTCTGCTCTCATCGGCCAGAGAGGGCCAGGAGGAGCCCAAGATCGCCTAGCAAGTCAGTGGCTGGCAGTCAGGAGACCCAAGGGCACGTCCAGAGTAGATGTGTGTATAGGAGTTGGGGAGAGGGTTGGGAGAGGTCGACCCCCTCCCCTCAGCATCCTCCTGACCTCCTGTAGGGGGAACGTGAAGGGGAAACGGCCCTACCAGGAGGGGACTCCGTGCTCCCAATGTCCCTCTGGCTATCGCTGCAAGAACTCCCTCTGTGGTGAGTCCACGGGTGGATGGGTAGGGGCGGGGAGTGTGGAAGGGATGCGATGCAGACTGGATGGTCTAAGAGCCTCCCTGGACTGAGCGGGACGTGGGCAGGGGAGGGGCCGGGCGGGATGCGACCACCGGGGGTCCCTGGCAGCTCCCTTAGCCCTCCACACGCAGCCACTTTGGCGCCCTGTCGTTCCAAGTGGCCGGATTTCAGCCCTTCAAAGGGAGGATGTTAGAAAGTCTGGCGGCTTCGGGGGGCCCGCGTGAGGTGGACGTGGCCAATCGTTAGGGTCTTGAGGAGCGGGCGGGGCCAGGCCGGGGGGCATGGTCAGAGGGCTTCAAGAGGGAGGGGCCGGCCTTGCCGGAGCCGTGGGAGGGACCGGGATCCCGCTGGAGAAGTACCCTGAAAAAGGGCAAGTACGAATGTAGAGAGACTTGGACCAGGAGGTGGAGAGAGGAGCAACTGTGTCAATCACCAGAAGTAGCGTTTCGTTTCTTTTCTTTTCTTTTCTTTTCTATTTTTTTTTTTCCTTTTTAACAGAGTTTTGCTCTTGTTGCCCAGACTGGAGTGCAATGGCTCGATCTCTGCTCACCTGCAACCTCTGCCTCCCGGGTTCAAGCAATTCTCCTGCCTCAGCCTCCCAAGTAGCTGGGATTACAAGCGCCCGCCACCACACCCGGCTAATTTTGTACTTTTAGTAGAGATGGGGTTTCTCCACATTGGTCAGGCTGGTCTCAAACTCCTGACCTCAGGTGATCCGCCTGCCTCAGCCTCCCAAAGTACTGGGATTACAGGCGTGAGCCACTGCGCCTGGCTTGTAACTTTTATTTCCAATGAGGGGCATATCCACTGGAGAAGTGTGTGTGTTTGTGTGTCCTAGTAGGACATTTGATCGGGTCGCTTGGTTTGCGGTGTAGTGAGAGATGTGAGGTCCTGCTTGCAGCACTCAGGCCAGTTCTCCTCTGTCTTATCAGAACCCATCGGAAGCCCGGAAGACGCCCAGGATTTGCCTTACGTGGTAACTGAGGCCCCATCCTTCCTGGCAACTGAAGCCTCAGACTCTAGGAAAATGGGTACTCCTTCCCTAGCAACGGGGATTCCGGCTTTCTTGGTAACAGAGGTCTCAGGTTCCCTGGCAACCAAGGCTCTGCCTGCTGTGGAAACCCAGGCCCCAACTTCCTTAGCAACAAAAGACCCGCCCTCCATGGCAACAGAGGCTCCACCTTCTGTAACAACTGAGGTGCCTTCCATTTTGGCATCCCACAGCCTGCCCTCCTTGGATGAGGAGCCAGTTACCTTCCCGGAATCGATCCATGTTCCTATCCCAAAATCAGCAGACAAAGTGACAGACAAAACAAAAGTGCCCTTCAGGAGCCCAGAGAACTCTCTGGACCCCAAGATGTCCCTGACAGGGGCAAGGGAGCTCCTACCCCATGCCCAGGAGGAGGCTGAGGCTGAGGCTGAGGGAGAGGCTGAGGCTGAGTTGCCTCCTTCCAGTGAGGTCTTGGCCTCAGTTTTTCCAGCCCAGGACAAGCCAGGTGAGCTGCAGGCCACACTGGACCACACGGGGCACACCTCCTCCAAGTCCCTGCCCAATTTCCCCAATACCTCTGCCACCGCTAATGCCATGGGTGGGCGTGCCCTGGCTCTGCAGTCGTCCTTGCCAGGTAAGGCCCGTGGCATCGGTCCCACTCCCCTCCTGGCTCTGGAATGGCAGTGTCCTGCCCCAGCTGTAGGTGGTATGAGCACGGTGGGGCATGCGCCCTGTGAGTAGGAGCTTCCGCCCTGGCTGCTGCCCCACCTCCTTGCATGGTGGGGTGGGTGGGACGGCAGGCACAGCCGTCTCTAGGCTGAGGCAAAGCCTCTTTCTTCCCACAGGTGCAGAGGGCCCTGACAAGCCTAGCGTTGTGTCAGGGCTGAACCCAGGCCCTGGTCATGTGTGGGGCCCTCTCCTGGGACTACTGCTCCTGCTTCCCCTGATGTTGGCTGGAATCTTCTGAAGGGGATACCACTCAAAGGCAAGGCCTGGTGCGGGGGGCCCTGGCCTCATGTCCACCTAGATTGTCTTCCTCCAAGTAAGTGGCCACAGCTTCCTGGGCAGGTCCTGCTCTGTGGCCCAGCAGCCCCCCTTCACCCCAACTTCTGGCCAGATTCCAGGCCAGCACTCTTATCCTCCTGGGAGGCGTCTACAGGGGCAGCCCCTGGCACTGCCCCAGGAGTGCCTTGGATCTGGGTAGGCCCATCCCTCAGCTGGCTGCAGACTGTTCTGAGTGGTATTCACACGTACCCACTCTCAGGTTGTCCTGTGGCTATTAGCTTCTCTCCTAGACAGAGGATCTCAGGCTTCCCAGGAACCCCTGGGCCCCTTCCAGTCCCCTGGCCTCTTCCTTGAGCCATCTGAATCCAGGACTGTTCCCCAGAAGTGCCTCTTGCCTTCTCAGGGTGAAGAGGTCAGCTGTCCTCCTGTCATCTTCCCCACCCTGTCCCCAGCCCCTAAACAAGATGCTTCTTGGTTAAGGCCCTCTGGAAGGGAAAGGCTACGGGGCATGTGCCTCATCACACCATCCTGGAGGCACAAGGCCTGGCTGACTGCGAGCGCACGGGGCCGCCTGAGGACTGCACACCGGGCCCACACCTCTCCTGCCCCTCCCTCCTGAGTCCTGGGGGTGGGAGGATTTGAGGGAGCTCACTGCCTACCTGGCCTGGGGCTGTCTTGCCCACACGGTATGAGTGCTCTCCCTGAGTGCCTGTGTAGCTGGGGACGGGGATTGCAAGGGGCAGATGAAGGACAAGCCCCACTGGAGTGGGGTTCTGTGGGTGGGGAGGCAGGGACAAGGGAAGGAAAGCAACTCCTGACTCTCCAATAAAAACCAGTCCAACCTGTGGCAACTGTTCTTTCTCTTTCACATCCCCCTCCTCTAAAACACTCCATTTAGTGTCTCCTCTTTGGGACGCACCCTTCTTTTCCTTCCTATAACTCTCCCCTCCCCCTAATCACAGGCGGCCGCCAGGAAGGGGAAGAGCCAAAGGAAGGCCAAGGGTGCTGGACTGACTCTCCCAGCTTCAGGAGTCACCAGCGGGGCCTAGACGGGTTTGGAGCCCGGGATCAAAGCATGGCATGCGGCCTCTTCACAAGGGTGCTGCTGCCCAGGCCTGTCTGGGACACAAGGTCAGAAATGTACGTCAGGCAAGGCTCTGCTAGCCCCAGGTGCTTGGAAGAGTCCTAAGAAAGGGATCTGGAGTCCCAGACCCTCCCCAGGGGAGCACAGGAGGACCGTCCAGAGGTGCTGAGGATCAGAAAGGCACACATATGTTGGAGTAGCAGTGGTGGGTGACTGAGGGTGGCTTGGATGGTAGGGAGGGGCAGGGCAAGTCTCCAGACCACCACTGGAGGGTGAGCAGTCAAACAGGACACCACCCAAGTCAGGGCAGGGCTGGGAACCAACCTGTAACCAAGGAGGACACTTCCCTCTTTTACTTTTTTTTTTTTTTTTTGAGATAGAGTTTTGCTCTGTCACCCAGGCTAGGGTGAAGTGGCGCGATCTGGGCTCACTGCAACCGCCGCCCCCCAGGTTCAAGTGATTCTCCTGCCTCAGCCTCCCAAGTAGCTGGGATTATAGGCGCCTGCCAACACACCTGGCTAATTTTTGTATTTTTAGTAGAGACAGAGTTTGGTCAACAGCTGGTCTTGAACTCCTGACCTCAGGTGATCCACCCACCTCAGCTTCCCAAAGTGCTAGGATTACAGGCATGAGCCACCACACCTAGCCTACTTAGTATGTTTTTTCCAGTTCTATTCAGATATAACTCATAACATAAAATTCACCCATTTAAAGTATGCAACTCAATGGTTTTTACTATATTCACAAGGTTGTGTAACCATCACAATTTTAGAACATTTTCATCACCCCCCCAAAAAAAACCCATACCCATTAGCAGTCACTCCCTATTTCCCTCCAACCTCCCCAGCCCCCATCAACCACTAATCTGTCTACATGGATTTGTCTGTTCTTAACATCCCATATAAATTCTTGACATATCATATATGTTATGGTCTTTTGTAACTGCTTCTTTCACTTACCACATAAATACATATAATTTGTTTTAGACCAGGTCTTGCTCTGACACCCAGGATTATAGCTCACTGCAGCCTCCAACTCCTGGGCTCAAGTGATTCTCCCATTTCAGCCTCTTGAGCAGCTGGGACTATAGGTGCATGCCACCATGTCCAGCTAATTTTTAAATTTTTTGTAGAGACAAGTTCTCACTATGTTGCCCAGGCTGGTCTTGAACTCCTGGCTTCAAGCAATCCTCCCAAAGGACTGAGATTATGGTTGTGAGTCGCCGCTCTCAGCCAACATACTTTCAAGGTTCATCCATGTCGTAGCATGAATCGGAACTTCTTCATTTTTATTGCCAAGTCATATTCCATTCTATGGAATATTTGTTACATTCTATAGAACATTTCCATTTTATTTGTCATCGGACACTCAGGCTGTTTCCACTCCTGAGCTACTATGAATAATGCTACTCTAAGCATTCATGTACCAGCTTTTGTGTGAACGTAAGTTTCCAATTATCTTGGGTATATACCTAGGGGTATAGATAAGGAAGTCCCCAAAGGCCTGTCAGGGGCCTTTTAGCTTTGCCCATTGGATGAGATTTCCCAGGAGTGGAGGTCATCAGCTCTCGACAGGACACTCCTCCTCCCGTCACCCCTCCCTTTGCCAGCAGCTGAGCTCTCCTCCTGCCCAATCCCACCCAATCTCCTTTCTCAGATGAGGACCCAGCATCCTAGTTTCTAGGACTAGTCAACAGGAAACATGCCAAGTGCTAGGAAGGCAGATGAACAGGGCCTCAGCCCCCAAACATCAAAGGGTCTAGAAGCATTTCACACACACAAGAATTTGAATGAACTGCAAACTTCCTGTTTTATTAAAAATCTGTACTTTGCTCAACCAGTAACTGGGACACAGTATCAAAAGACATTTTCATGCCATTTCTGGGTGTGGAAGATGGCTTGGGAAATGAAGTTGAAACCCCCAAATTCAGGAAATTACTTGGGAGACAACAGCAGCCCTCCCTGAGGTGACTGGCCAAGGCCATCAAAACCTTGCTCTGTACTCCGGGCAGCCTCTCTGAACTTCTGGGAGGAGCTCTTCAGATCCAGCTTAGCTCAGGCTCCAGAGATACAGGTGCCCCTCAATCTAGGGGGGGCCTTAGGAATTAATCCATGCAAAAACAGGATCTGAGGGTGGAGCAACAGGAAGAAAAGACACCCCAGAACAGTGGTCTGTCTCTGGAAAAGCACACTGGGCTGGAGAAAGGCCACGGGGCAGACTCCCCTCTGAAGGACCTGGGAACCCAAGGTCCTCCTCTACAGGCTTGCCCTGCCCACCCCCACATGTGTTCCTCCCACTACCTTAGCCCTCTGGGGTGTTTCCCTAGAAAAGTTAATATGGGTGACAAAGTTATGAGACCTTGGTGGCCTCAATCAGTGTACATTTACATAACACCCACACAGGCACACTTCTGTGTTCCTGGGAAACGAGGACATGTGAAGTGAAACTGTCCGTGAGTCCACTGTTAAAAGCTACCAGAACCCAGCTCTCAAAAGCCAGGATACCTTGAGCAAGGGCAGAGAAATACCTGGGGGAACCTAGCTGGGCCTCAAAATATGTGTAAGCTTTGTCTGCTTACAGACCCCAGTGCTGGGCAAAAACCATTCGATGGAAGGGAGGTCTGCCCGTTCTGATGTAACCGTGGCCACTATACCAAGTGACACTTCGTAAAACCTGAAGATACGTCATCCTTGAACAGTGCTAAGATATGACAGTCAGGGGTGTGGGTGGAACACTTTCTGAAAGGCCTGTCTCCCTGGCAACAGACCTGCGCACTGGTTGCTGCTGTGGAAACTGACACCCCAGCCTCATCATCCAGTGTCTCCCCAGAGACTGAGCTACACCAAGCTCTGGTACCTACATCTCCAATCGGGCAGCCCCCTGCCCTGCCTCTTTACAGCCCCTTCTCACACCAACAGGAAGGACTTGGAAAGACAGACTCTATAGATAGATTTTTAAGCTTACAAAAATAAGAGACTCCCCACAAAACTCCAAATCACCAATACATTTATTTGCGGGAGATGGGGTCAAATCTTACCATGAACTTTAAAACTGGGTGGGACTGGAGACACTGATCTGCCCAACCTCTGGGTATTCACAACTGCACAGGGAACCAGATCCTGTACGCGAGGCATCACCATTAAACATGTGAGCATTCGATGAGGAGGACACATTCCGAGTCGTCGCATGATTTCCCATTCAGAGGCAGGTGCTGCCCTCATATCAGAAAAGTAGTGTTGAGAAAAACGCAGGCAGAGCCTGGCATTTGCCTCCTAGCATAGGCCTAGACATGATGGTGGCCATGTGCCAGGGGATCACGCCCTATGTACAAAGCAGGAGAATGATGCTCCCAGCTGAGCTGCAGGATGGGCGCTGGGCTGACTGGAGGGGTAGAGGGGGTGGGGTCTGACCCCATTAGCCTTTCCCCATCCAACCTGGGCCCCCATAAGCCATTCTCTGGCCCTTTGCACAAGACAGACTCAGCAAATCTGGGAGGTATGGGGATTCTCCCAACTCCCCACCTCGCCTCATCTTCCCCAGGTCTGCCAGGTGACCCAATCCACTGGGTACAGCCCCATCCCCGCCCAACCCCACATCTGGACAGACACATGGCAAATATGGAAACTGAAGCCCGGCTGGGCTGGAGCACATCTGGTTGTTGTTGGTTTGGAGTCGTCTTGCAGGTGTCCCAAGGTGGTCAGGCCTCACCCACGGTGGCCAGGTTGAGACCGTGTTTTTTAGATGATTCAGGTTACTCCAGGGCAAAGCATGATCCTGATGAAACCCGGCGGAAAAGCAGGCTGGAGCCTCGGAAGAGCTGGCCCTGGACCAGAAGGAAAAAGAGGGTGAGTGAAAGGGAGGCCACGCTTCCTTGTCCCTCCGAGAGGAAGGCCAGTGTCAGGCAAAGAAGGGTCCAGGAGCTCAAAGACCTAGCTCCGGGGTGGACAGCCTCGGCCTACATCCCTGGAGGGCAGAATCTGCCTGTGTTGAAGCAGACGGGAGCGGTTCATGTCCTGCCCAGGGGTGTCTTTGGGGCTACTCTGTAGGAGAGCCCAGAGACGAGGCTCATTGCCCCTCTTGCTTCAGAGCCCAAGTGGTCTGGGACTCTTTCAATGCTCACAGGGAGGACGAGACACACTGACACTGACCAGGGCCGCTGGGAAGAACTGTGGCTCTCCTCCCTGCTTCCCTCCCATCTGTCCTCTTCTCAGCCTTGAGGCCAGTCAGCGCTCTGGCTCCCTCCAGGCCACTGCCCCATTTCACTGCGAGGCAAACCAAGGCCAGGAAAAGGCAAGGTTCTGCCCTTGACCAGAGCCTGGACCTGACTGCTGGGCCCAAGATCTCCAGCCAGGGAGAGGTAGCTTCGGCACAGAACATGAGAACCCAAGGCTGGTACTGCTGCCAGGTCCCCCCGTGGCCCAGCTCCACCCACAGGCTTTCCTGGGCCCAGGAATGTCCTGCAGGAGGGAGGAGTTGGTCTCCAATGCCAGCTGCCCTAACAACCCAGGAACTCAGCTCAACTGGTTACAGCCCTCAAATTTTCAGCCCATGTTACTTGAAGGAGAAGCAGTTCTTGGGCTTTGCCACCTGCCACCTGGGCCAGAGTTCTCTTATCCTTATCCTAAGAGTCTTTAAGACTCAAAGAAGAAAAGGTCTTGTATGATGTTTAATCTTAAAATAAACCCACACTTAGCCACCTCAAATCCTTTCTGAAATTAGGTAAGATGAAAACTTAAATGCCTTATAGACACCAAGT